GGGGGGGGGGGGAGCGGGGTAGAGGCGTCGTGGCTGCCTTCGATCGGCCCAAAGGTCTTCGACAAGGGGTCCAAGCTTCCGCTTTTCGTTAACGAGCTCACGAGTGTCCGCACGCAGGCTCCGTTGGACCACTACCAGTGAGTACAGCATGAGTATGGTACAGCACTAGTCCTTTGTACAGCAGTACCGCACTAGTCCTTCGTTTGTTGTTAAATTCAAACACCCAGATCACTCTTCATTTATTGTTTTCGAGAATGGAGGGAGGATGCTCAACCCCCCAGTTCAACTCCGTCCTGGTATCTATGCATGTCAACGTTGTTTTTTTCGTGCAACCGGAAGGCACCCCTCCGGTACATTTATAGGTGTGGAACAACGTTCCAAGGGTGAGGTATGTTAATACTAAGGGTACAATATGAAAGAAACTGATGTCGTAGGCCGTCGTAGATCTGTTTTAGGTACTTCGGAGATGTGGTTACGGGATTCTGTCGTAAATCGTCGGAGATGTGGCTGCTTGTGGGAATATCTTTGGGGAATCTTTCGCAAATCTTCGGAAAGTCGGTTATGAGATTCTGCCGTAGATCGATCATAGACCCGGTCCGTTCAGCTGCGTGGTGTCGCTGGGAGGGGGATTTCCATGACAACTCAATCAGCACAAGCACCGAGGGGCATGGCTCTTCGTTTTTTTTTTGAAGGTGGCACTGTAGCCTCCCAAGTTCAACGATTGTGTTGGCAAACAAAGACAATACGCTGGGAAGATTAAGATTACAACACGCGTCACAGTCAGGCTGAGCTTTGTACAAGGTAGATTGTTTAATTTTGGACTTTGCTTTGCTATCGTTTCGTTTGGCGAAGTGCCTGCATGGCTGGGCCGTTCGCCTATCCCCCTAGCCTGAAGACAGTGCTGTGCGCTGCGGTGTTGGCACTACAAACGCCATGCCTAAGTGGACTTCCACTGTGGTACATCCATCCCTGTATTGGTGGTACAGAAATCCTCCCCAGTACCTGTAACAACACAAAATTAACACCCCAAACTAGTATTGCTTTGGGGCGAATCTGATCATTCAACCGTGATTGGAAATATGTCTTTTGTGTCTTGTCTTGTTTGTAGAATAAAGCGTTCGTGTTTATGTATCGAAATTCCCGTTCAAGGAGGGCTGCACTTATCCTGGTACTTCCATCGTTGTCGTGTGTGCGTATGGCGGGGGGCGGCATAACAGCGTGGCCTACTGTCGTCCGGAGCACCTCCACGAAAACGCGGAGAATATCGGTGCCTATCTAGAGGGGGACCGGGAAGAGAACTCGCTTTACGACCTTGAGGTTGGGGTGCCGCAGGCATGCAGAGTTCTCTGCAGCAAGGTATGTTGGGTGGGGGTAGCGTTGTCGTTCATCCTTACCCGATTATGACACGAAAAGGGTGCTCTGCCAGAAGGTGTGACGGGTGGAGGTTGAGCGTAACTCACCCCTAGCACTGATTGGGTGCTCTGCCAGAAGATAGAGGCAATCATGTTACTTACGCCTACCCCTATATTGCAGAAGTAGAGTGCTCTCCCCCATGATTCATGTAAGAACGCTCTACAATGGACAAAAGATTCCGAGATGCCGCATCCCTTCAGGGTGACGTGCAAGACCGAAAAGAAATCAAGCGGGAACAACCGGCACAAGCAGGAGATATCGTGTTTCTGATAAGATTTGGTGTGTATAACACCGCACATAGCACCGGTCGCCCTGGTGGTCTAGTGGGTAACCTCGCAGTCTGCTAAGGGCCCGGTCATGGGTCCGAGTCCCGACCGAGTGAGTTTATTCTCGCCAATTAAACCCTGGTCTCTGTTGGAAGCGACGCGCTGCAAAGCTCGTTGTTAGTAAACTTGATCGACTTCATAAGTCGTGAGGGAAGGGATTGCTGTACCCTTCTCGCGATAAAAATATCTCAGGCAGGAACCGCAGGAGGGGGTCCAACCCCCCCCTCCTGTGTGACCCCGGTTGGGCCGTCTAGCTGGTAGAAGTGGAGGATAGGGGCCAGAGGGGCAGACGACAGTGTCCAATGATGGGAGAAAATAAAAAAAAGCGCAGCGTGACTTTGAATCTCTGTCTCGGCTCTTGGTACGTGAATCGTGCTGTAGTCCGTAGACGTGTACCAACCCGCCTTCTTCAGGTACTTCAGAGTATGTAACTATTTCCTTACCTCTTCTTTGCTGTTCCCCTTCTTTCCACACGGGCGGAACCTTCCCTTCTCCTCGATGCTGCGGTGCAGACCCTCAAGCCTCAGGAGCGATATATGTTTGCCAGCGTGATCCGCGATGGATACCAGTCTCACATGTCCATCACACACCTTCCTGCGGCGTACGACCCGGTGAGTGTACCCGAAGTCTTTGTTCCAGCACACTACCCATGTTTTTTTTGTGTGTTGTTTTTCGTGTCTTGTTGCGCTTGGGAGTCTGGAGTTGTGCACGTTGATCGGACGTGCCACCGCCTCGACGTCCAAACCTTGGGGCTATCAATATGCATACCTGGAACCTCAAGGATATGACCTTAAGAACTACTGGTGCTCGCTGTTGGGTGAACCCGCAGATGGAGAGCAAAGCAAAGCAAGAAGGTTTCGTATGGTAACACCATGTGGAGGCTGCTGAGTTATTGCTCTCCCCCGAATGAATGCCCACGATAAACTTTGAGTTGTTGCTGCTGCTACAGGCAATGTTGCTTTGTTTGGCGTTGTTTAGGGGAGAGGATGGCCCGATCACAAGCATGGTCCTCGTTGTCGGCGAAACATATCGCTATTTTCTTTTCCCGTGGCTGAAATGCCGAGCAAGCTGTGTCGTTACCCTTCGAAATCTGACTGTTTCCTAAACGCGTTAGTTCATTGCGAAGTTGAATCTGTTGTTGCAGACCCATCCCAGGTTAACTTCATGGTCTTCGACGGCTCTTTGACGCTTTTCTTTTCCTCATTTTGCTCATCGTGCCGCCTTTCAGACCTTCTTATGCGTACGCTTCGTTTTCCTTCAACTCTTGCCGTTCTTCTCTTCATTTTTCTTTTTCTCGCTCCTCGACCCTCGGTTGTTTTGTCAACTACTGCTCGACACATCGTGTCTTCTTTTGACCGTTGGAACTACATGCATGCATACGACTCTGTTTGCTTTGTTACTGTTGTTGACGGTCTGTCTATGCTTTCTTGAACCATTCACCCTACGCTGTGGCAGAAACCGGACGGTATGGCGGGGAAGCTGACCGAGACCCCCGTGACGACTTCCATGGCGGACGACCAAGAGCATGTTTACCAGAGGTAAGGAAGTCCAGGAACCGCACTACCTGTACAATTTATGGGTGTTGGGGGGTATGGGTGTTGGGGGTCTGGGTGTTGGGGGGTCTGGGTG